AGGCAAAAAGAATACATCTCCACCAAACCAAAAAGGCAAAATATGCTAAAGGGACTGGTTTAAGAACATGAAAAAAGAGTGTGAAAGAGAAGAACACAGGTACAAAGGGAAAAATGAAAAAGAACCTCTCATCATTAACTGCAAATGTAAATGGACTAAATTCTCCAATTAAAAAAAAAACAGGATAACTGAATGGATAAGAATATACGACCCACACAAATGTTGCCTACAAAAGACCCACCTCAGAACAAATTATATACAAAGACTGAAAGTGATGTAATGGAAAAATATTACATGAACATGGACTGGAAAAAAAGCAGGGGAAGAAATACTTATATCAGACAAAATAGACTTCAAAACAAAGGCCATAAAAAGAGACCCTGAAGGACACTTTTTAATGCTCAAAGGGAGAATCCATGAAGAAAACATAAACATTTTAAACCTATATGCACTCAACACAGGAGCACCCAAATATATAAGGCAAATCTTGGAGAACTTCAAGAAAGATATAAACAGCAACACACTGATAGTTGTGGATTTTAACACCCCACTATCAACAATGGATAGATCTTCCAAACAAAACTTCAAAAAGGATACTGTGGAACTGAACGATGCATTATATCAAATGGACTTTACTGATATTTATAGAAACTTTCATGCCAAAGAAGCCTAACACACATTTTTTTCCAATGCACATGGAAAATTTTCAAAGATAGATGACATGATAGTACACAAAACAAGCCTCAAAATATTCAGGAAAATTGAGATCAACACAAGCATTCTCTCGGATCACAAGGGTTTGAAACTGGAAACCAACCTCAAGGAAAATCCTCAAAAACTTTCAAACTCATGGAGACTGAGTAGCACACTATTAAACAATGAATGGGTCAATAATGAGATAAGAGAAGAAATCAAAAAGTTTCTGGAAACATATGAAAATGAACACACAACGGTCTAAAACATATGTGATATAGCAAAAGGAGTCCTGAGAGGAAAGGTCAAAATAATGCAGACTACCTAAAAAAGATAGAAACGTTTGAAATAAATGAGCATACCATACAGCTTCAACAACTGGAGAAACAAACAAACAAAAAACAAAAACAAAACAAAGAAACAAAAAAAAAACACAGCAAGAAGAAGGAAGGAAATAATCAAGATTAGAGCAGAATTGAATGACATAGAGAGTAAAAGTACAATTCAAAGGATAAACTAATCCAGGAGCTGGTCCTTTGAAAAGATAAACAAAATTGACAAGTCTTTAAGCAGACACATCAAAAAAAAAAAAAAAGGGAGAAGACCCAAATAAATAATATCAGAAACGAAAAAGAAGAAAGAACAACTGGTACCATAGAAATACAAAGGATTGTAAGAAACTACTATAAACAATTCTATGCCAAGAAATTTGAAAACATCAATGAAATGGACAAATTTCTAGAAAATTATAAACTTCCAACATTGAATGAAGAAGGAGAAAGCTTGAACAGACTGATAACAGATGGGGAAATTGAAGAGTTAATAAAAAAATCTCCCGGCATACAAAAGCCCTGGACTGGAAGGTTCCACAAGATAATTTTACAAAATATTTAAGGAAGAGCTAAACCCTGTCCTTCTCACACTATTCCAAAAAATCTAAGAAGAGGAAAGATTCCGAAACTCTTTATTTAAATTAATTAATTTATTTTTCCAACTACATTTGTCTCTGTCTTCCCCCCACCACTTTCCCTTGCCCCCTCCCCCATCTCCCTCCCCCAATCTTTCCTCACTTTGGTTTTGTCCATGAGTCCTTGTTATATGTTCCTTGACTTTCTCCTTCCCTTCCTTTTCCCCTGCCCCCTCCCTCCTTCCCTCAATGAGACCATCATCATCCTAATCCCCAAAACAGATAAAGACACAACAAAGAAAGATAACTACAGGCCAATATTGCTGATCAACATAGACGCTAAAGTCCTCAACAAAATATTGGCAAACTGCATCCAGCAATATATTAAAAAGATCATCCATCATGATCAAGGGGTTTCATTCCAGGGATGCAAGGATGGTTCATAATTTGCAAATTAGTAAATGTAATATATCACATAAACCAATGGAAAGACCAAAACCACATATGTGCTCATCTCAATAGATGCGGAAAATGCATTTCATCAGGGAGAACACCCATTTATGATCAAAACACTCTGCAAAATGGGAATAAAGGGGGCATACTTCAACATAATAAAGGCCATATATGAAAAACCCTACAGCTAACATCATACTCAATGGGCAAAAACTTAAAAGTTTTCCGACTAAGATCGGGAACAAGACAAGGATGTCCGCTTTCACCACTTCTATTCCATATAGTATTGGAATTCCTAGCCACAGTAATCAGATGATAAAAAGAAACAAAAGACATCCAAATTGGAAAGGAGGAAGAAAAACTATAATTATTTGTGGATGACTTGATAGTGTACACAGAAAACCCCTTAGACTCCACCATAAAACTACTCGACCTAATAACTGAATTTGACAAAACTGTAGGATACAAAGTAAATATTGTGAAATTGAAGGCATTTTTGTAAACGAACAATGAAATATCAGAAGCAGAAATCAGGAAAAATATTCCCATTTGCTACAAGAAGAAAAATAAAGTACCTAGGAATAAATTTATCCAAGGAGGTAAAAGACCTGTATGCAGGAAACTATACATTAATACTGAAGAAAGAAATTAAGAAAGACAAAGATAAATGGAAACATATACCATGTTCATGGATTGGAAGAATTAACATTATCAAATTGTTCATACTATGTAAAGTAGTTTATAGATTCAATGCAGTTCCTATTAAAATATCCATGGCATATTTCACAGATACAGAGCAAACATTTCAAAAATTTATATGGGCACATAAAGGACCCAGAATAGTTGCAGCAATTTTAAGACAGAAGAACAAAGTAGGAGGGATCACAATACCTGACATCAAACTATATTACAAGGCCACTGTAATCAGAACAGTCTGGTACTGTCATAACAACAGACACATAGATCAATGGAACATAGAGAGCTAGAAATAAACTCATGTCGCTATGATGAAGTGATATTCGACCAAGGGTGCGGAAGCCTAAAATAGAGTAAAAATAGCCATTTCAACAAATGGTGTTGGGAGAGCTGGACAACGACCTGCAAAAAAATTGAAATTTGACCACCAACCTACATCATACACAAAAATAAACTCAAGATGGATAAAAGACATAAGTATAATTTGTGATACCATAAAAGTCCTAGAGAAGAACATAGGCAGGAAACTCTCGGATATCCCATGCAGCAATATTTTCACCGATAGGTTCCCTACAGCAAGGGACATAAAAGAAAGAATAAACAAGTGGGACCTCATCAAAAGAAGAAGCTTCTGCAAGATAAAGAAAACATCAGCACAATGAAAAGGGAGCCAACCCTATGGGAAAATATATTTGCTAATGATACAACAGATAGAGGTTTGATCTCCAAGATATATAAAGAACTCATACTACTCCACTCAAGGAAGACAAAGTATCCAATTTAGAAATGGGAAAGGACCTGAACAGACTCTTATCCATTGAGTACATAAACAGGGCCCTGAGACTTTTGAAAGGATGCTCAGCATCACTAGCCATCAGAGAAATGCAATGTAAGACCACAGTGTGATATCACTTCACTCTGATCAAAATGGCCATCATAAGCAAATCAACAAACAACAGATCTGGCAAGGTTGTGGAGAAAAGGGAACCCTAGTACATTGTTGGTGGGAATGCAGACTGGTGCAGCCATTGCGGAAAACATTTGGAATTTCTTCAAAAATCTAAAAATGGAACTCCCTTTTGACCCAGCCACTCCACTGCTGGGATTATACTCTAAGAAAACCCGAACACCAATTCAAAAAAACCTTTGCACCCCAATGTTCATAGCAGCACAATTTACAACAGCCAAGAGCTGGAAGTAACCTAACTGCCCATCAGTATATAAGTGGATCAACAAACTATGGTACATTTATACAATGGAATACTATACAGCAGAAAGTAAGAGGGAGCTCATACCCTTTGTGACAGCATGGATGCATCTAGAGAACATTATGCTAAGTGAAGTAAGCCAGGCAGTGAAAGACAAATACCATATAATCTCACCTATCAGTGGAATCTAATCAACAAACAAACAATCAAGGAAAATATTACCAACAACATTGAAAGGAAAAAGAAAATTACAGTAATGAGAGGGAAAGAGGGAGGGGGGTAATGGTGAAAGGAAAGGGAAGCATCGAATTAAGGAACATGTATAAAGGACCCATGGATAAAGCCAAAGTGGGGAAGGATTGAGGTTGTGTGGTGGGAGTGGGTGGGGCAAGGGAAAGTTGTGGCAGGGAAATGGTGACAAATGTATTTGAATAATTAAAAAAATTAAAAGAAAACAACTATGGGATATTTACACAATGGAATAAGACTCAACCATAAAAAAGAATATTTTACCTTTGCAACAGTATGGGCAGACCTAGAGAACACTATGCTAAGTAAGTTAGTCAGAGAAAGACAAATACCGTATGATATCACTCATATCTGAAATCCAATGAAAAACTGAACTAACAAGGAAAGTGGGGACAGACTCACAGATGGAATGCAGGATAACAGCTCGTGGGGTGGGGGAGGTAGGAGGGTAAAGAGATTGAGAAAAATAGTAAAAGGACTCATATACATTGACAACAATATTGTGATTGCTGGGGGGAAGGCGATAGAAGGGGACTAAATGGTAATGAAATAAATACAATAAAGATTAACAAAAAAAGTGATAATTTACCAAAAGTAATTATTTTGGGGTAGTAGAATTACTAGTGATCTTTCTTTAGCTTTTTATGATTTTCTAAAATTTCCATGTATTGTACAATAAACAGAAGGGCATTAATTTTAAAATCTGAAAAAGGCGTCCTTAAAAATCTTAATCTTTTTTGCTTTTTATATTAAATCAAGCTTAGTTGTAAAAATAGGCAAGCAAACCAACATACCTTTTGATTAAATGGGCTCGGCTGTTCACATAGTTGGAGTCAAAAGAATAGGTTTCAGTCTGCAATGGGAAAAAATATTTAAAAGGTTACATCAATGATTCATGAGAAGAGCCAAACTGCTCTACTTTAAGGGAGTTTTTCTACTGGGTGAGAAGCAATGAATGAATAAGAAATCAAGGGCGTAGTAGGGCAACAGCCTGAGGAATATCTGCCCTCTCCTTAGGGCCCTAGGGGTTCTGCGGAGGCAGTCCTCACCTGCAGACCAAGATGAACTTGACAGAAACATTCCCAAGAATATGGCTGGCTACTGACCATGCAACCTCTTACGGGGAGATACAGCATGACCTAAAACCTTTACAGAAATTGATTGCTTCCCATTCCCCAGTGGACACAATTATGTGCCCATCAAATTGACTGGAAGTTCAAAGGTATTTTTATTAGATAATTAACATGTTAAAATATTTATAACAGATATGGAAATGTAGGCAAGGCAATGCCCCACTGTGGATTTAAACTCTGTACTTCCCTTTGTTTTACGACATTTAACTCAGTGCTGGTTATGCAGGAAGGCCTTCATTTCATTACAGATATAAAGACAAATATGGGACCAAAGCCTTTTCATGTGAACTGTGAGGTTTGCAAATGAATCTGTCTCAGCTCCCATCCTTAAAATGCCATTGTCTAATCTGGTTACAGTAAACTGCCTGAGTACCGGCTTTACAAAAGAAAATGCAGAATACCTGCCAGATGCAAGAGATGTGAAAACAGCTTGTGAGCACCCTGAGTTTGGAGAAATTAAGGGGGAAATACTTAGAATGTGGGAATGCATGGAAATATTGACAATAATGTTACTCATCCTAGTTAAGTGGCTCTTACCCCCAACACTAAAGTACTACTCTCATTGAAACACTGTATAAACTGATAAACACATCTCCTCCATCCCCCTGCCATTCTACCAGAAGTCCTCACTATCCTCACCATTATTTATGGTCTTCTGAAATCACTTGAACTGAAAGTGCCTGGAAAAGGAAACAATAGCTGTCTAGCTAAGAAAATAGCAAATTCTTTTCATATTACTTCCTGCCAGACATTAACTGCTAAGTTCTTATGCAGCCTTTGATTTCAAGGAGCTCACAGTTTGGTAGAGGAGAAAACATGACTGGCGACAGCAGATCCAACCACTACATGAGCACCAGACTACCAACAGTCACGGTGGGAACCTTAAGTATCTTGCATAGGTGAGGATGAGGGTGGTGACTAAGTGGGAGAAAGGAGCGAGTATGAGAAGGAAATCCTACCACTGTCCTGGATTTACTTAGGCATGTTCATGCCTGCCACAAATATTCTTCCTGCTGTTGGAAGGAATGGGTTGGGAGAGTAAAAATAAAGGATCAATTCATTTCTGAGTTGTTCATAAGAAAATAGATACTGAAACTGTTGCTAACATAATTATAAGAGAAGTAGGCAAACTTGAAGCTGCACTGGAAATACAATGCTGGAAGTACTTCTGAAAGAGGTTATCTATCAGTCAGTCAACCAACAAGAATTTCTTGAATTTATTATAGAAACATCATGGGCCAAAAATGGTATGGGGTAAATGCATTCACTCTTCCATGATATTCAGCACAATGTATGTAATTTATACGAGTTATATAATTTAACAAGTGGAAGTCCCCCACACCCCCAAAGCATGCTATCCAATTTAAAAAATTGATTAAATACTCGAGTTCAATTATTACTTTCAATGTGTAACATTGGGAAATTACTTAATTTCTCTCTTCCTCAATTCCCTCTATTTTTTCAAGCTTATTCATCCCTTTTATTTTTTTTTATTTTTTTTATTGCTGTTCAATTACAGTTGTCCCCATTTCGCTCCATGATTCTCCCCTGCTCTACCCACACCAACCTCCCAGGTTCAATCCTCACCCTCACCCATTGTATTTGCCTAACAGTCCTTTATACATGTTCATTGATGACCGACCCACTGCTTTGCCATCTTTTTCTACTTCCCTCTCCCCTCTGGTTACTGTCAGTTTCTTCTTTAATTCCATGTCCCTAGTTCTACTTTGCCCGCTTGTTTCTTTTGTTGATTAGGTTCAACTTATAGGTGAGATCATATGGTATTTGTTTTTCACCGCCTGGCCTATTCCACTTAGCAAATGCTCTCCAGTTCCATTCATGTTACTGCGAAGGGTAGGATATCCTTCTTCCTTTCTGCCGCATAGTATTCCATTGTGTAAATTACCATAGTTTTCTGACCCACTCATTTACTGATGGGCAGTTAGGTTGCTTCCAGCACTTGGCTACTGTAACTGCTGCTATGAGCATTGGGGTGCATGGGTTCCTTTGAACTTGTGTTTCAGGATTCTTAGGGTACAATACAAGCAGTGGTATTGCCAGGTGAAAAGGTAGTTCCATTTTTGTTTTTCGAGGAAATTCCATACTATTTTCCTCAGTAGCTGCACCAGCCTGCATTCCCACCAACAGTGTACAAGGGTTCCCTTTTCTCCACAGCCTTGCTAGCATTCGTTGTTTGTTGAATTGTTTATGATAGCTACTCTGACCTGTGTGAAGTGATATCTCATTGTGGTTTTAATTTTCATCTCTCTGATGGCTAGTGACGGTGAGGACCCTTTTATATGTCTCTGGGACCTCTATGTCCTCCTTTGAGAAGTGCATGTTCAGGTCTTTGCCCATTTTTTAATTGGATTCTTGTCTTACTGGCATAGAGTCATGTGAGTTCTTTATATATTTTGGAGATCAAACCCCTATCTGAAGTATCATTGGCAAATATATTTTCCCATACACTTGGTTCCCTTTCATTCCGATGATGTTTTCTTTAGCCATATAGGGACTTTTTAATTTGATGTAGTCCCATTTGTTTATCCTTTCCTTTATGTCCCTTGCTGTAGAGGACATATCAGTGAAAATATTGCTGTATGATATATCTGAAATTTTCCAGGCTATGTTATTATCTAAGGTTTTTACAGTGTCATGATTTATAGTTAAGTATTTTATCCATCTTGAGTTTATTTTTTGTGTATCATGTAAAGTTGGTGGCCAAGTTTCATTTCTTTGCATGATGTTGTCCAGATCACCCAACACCATATGTTGTAGAGGCTCTATTTACTCCATTTTATGCTCCTGCCCCCATTGTCCAATATTAATTGACCGTAGAGACATTTTATTTGTGGGTTTATTTGTGGGCTCTCAATCCTGTTCCATTGATCTATGTATCTGTTCTTATTCCAGTGTCAGACTGTTTTGATGACAGTGGCTTTGTAATATAGTTTGATGCTAAGTATTGTGGTCCCCACCTACTTTGTTCTTTCTCAAAATTGCTGCAGCTATTCAGGGTCCTTCATGGTTCCAAATAAATTTTTGAAATGTTTTTTCTGTATCTGTGAAATATGTCATTGGTATTTTACTATTTTTTTTATTTATTTTTAGACAGAAGGGGAGGGAGGGAGAAAGGGAGAGAAATATCAGTGTGTGGTTGCCTCTCTCATGCCCTCCATTGGTGACCTGGCCTGCAACCCAGGCTGTGTCCTGACCAAGAATCAAACCAGTGACCATTTGGTTCACAGGCCAGTCAGTGCTCAATCCACTGAGCCACACCAGCCTGGGCTGTCATTGGTATCTTAATAGGTACTGCATTTAATCCATAAATTGCTTTGGGTCATATGGACATTTTGGTGATGTTCATTCTTCTGACTCATGAACACAGTATATACTTCCATTTATTCATGTCTTCCTTAATTCCTTTCTTCAGCATTCTGTACTTTTCTGAGTAAAATTCTTTTATCTCCTTGGTTAGCTTTATTCCTAGGTACTTTATTTTTCTTGTTGTTATATCAAGTGGGATTTTTTTCTTCTTCCTGTTTCTTATATTTCATTGTTGGTGTAAAAAAATGTCTTCAATTACTGAATATTGACTTTATATCCTGCCCTTTTTGCCAAATTCAGTTATTAGGTCAAGTAATTTTTTGGAGGAGTCTATAGGGTTTTCTATGTACACTATCATGTAATCTACAAACATTGACAGTTTTACTTCCTCTTTTCCTGTTTGGTTGACTTTTATTTCTTTTTCTCAGCTGATCACTGTGGATAGAACTTCCAATCCTATATTGAATAGAAGCGGTAAAAGCAGACACCCTTGTCTTATTCCTGATCCTAGTGGGAAAGTTTTATTTTTCACCTGTTGAGTACGATGTTGCCTGTAGGTTTCTCATATGTGGCCTTTATTATGTTGAGGTATGCTCCTTTTACTCTCACTTTGCTGAGTGTTTTTATCATGAATAGGTGCTGTATCAAAGGCTTTTTCCTCATCTACTGATATGATAAGTGATTTCTTTTCTCTTTCTTTTTGTTTATGTGATATATTACATATACGGCTTTGCAAATATTAGGAGTTTTCTGATTACCATGTCAATTTCACAGGCTGTTATCAGTCTATTCAGGTTTTCTGCTTCTTCTTGATTCAGTTTTGGAAGATTATATTTTTCTAGAAATTTGTCCATTACACCCAGGTTTTCAAATTTCTTAGCATATAGTGGTTCGTAGTGATTTCTTAATTTCCTTTGTATTTATGTGGCATCAATTGTAATCACTCTCTTTCTTTTATGATTTTATTTATTTGGATCCTCTCTCTTTTTTCTTGATGAGTCCAGTTAAAGTATTGTTGATTTTGTTTATCTTTTCAAAGAACCAGCTCCAGGATGTTTCAATCTTTGAATTGTTCTTTTAGATTTATGCCATTTAATTCTGCTTTGATCTTGGTTATTTCCTTCCTTCTGATCACTCTGGGCTTTCTTTGTTATTGTTCCCCCAGTTTTTGTAGCTGCACAGTCAGCTCATTTATGTGAAATGTTTCTAACTTTTTTAGGTAGGCCTGTATTGCTATGAACTTCCCTCTCAGGACTGCCTTTGCTGTGTCCCATAGGTCTTGGACTGTTGTGTGTTCATTTTCATTTGTTTCCAGAAACTTTTTGATTTATTCCTTGATCACCTTGTTAATCCATTCATTGTTTAATAGCATGCCATTCAGTCTCCATGAATT